CTGCCCACACAGACCCTTTCCTCTCACATGGGCCTACCAGCTTCCCCCTGCTTGATTTGAAGCCGCTAGAAATTATGAGTATACAGTGGACCCCCGCTTTCCGTTTTTAATCCGGCAAGAGGGGTCATTTTTTATCGAAATAATCGTATGCAAAATTTTTTCCCATAAAAATAATGGAAATCAAATTAATCCGTGCAAGAACCCAAAAGTATAAAAAAAAATTTTTTTTACCACATGAAATGTTAATTTTTAAACACACAAAATAAAAAGGCATGCCACTTACAACACTTCTTTTATTTTAAGATCGGGGGATATTGATGGGATGGGAGGAGGGGAGAGAGTGGTTAGTGTTTTAGAAGGGGGAAACCCCTTTCCCTTAAGACTTTAGGGGTCGAGTCCTTTTTTGGTTACTTCCCTTCTTCTTTTAATGCCCCTAGGACCATTTTAGAGTCACTGGACTTCTTTCGCACAACATATCGTCCATAGTGGCCGTACCTCTCGTTCCTTATGCTTCCCCAAAGTGTTTCACAAAATTGTCATGTAATAAAAGACCACACGGCTTGCAAAAGCTTTGGGGAGGGGATACTCATCCTAAAGGTTTTTCACTTTTAGCCACATTGCCCCAAATTCCTTAAAACTTTGTAGTAGGCAACTTCTTTAATTTCTCTTCCCCTCCTCGAACCGTTTTCTCGGTCGGCCTCTGCTCTTGAAGTTTACTATCACTCATCATGGTTTGTTCTTTTATTTTCCTCCTCCACCAAATCTTCCAAAATCCCCCCACTAAACCTCCAACCCCCAAAGGCTTTCCCAAGCCCCAATGGGTTCCTCAACTGGGATAAACCCCCTAGGGGTTTGCCTCAAACCCTTTTAAAAAACCCTTTTTTCTACACATTCTGGCCACATTTCTTCCAAGCAAGTTTAAGGTCTTCTATCACTCCCCCCCAAGCCTAAAAATAAGGTTTACACAATTTAGGATTAAATGCTCTCTCCAAAAAACTCTCTTAGAGCCAATTGAGTTTCTGAGGCACTAAAAAAGCACCCTTTTAAACAGAGCTTTTGTGTAATTTTTTGAAATTTTCAATAACCTGCTGGTCCATGGGGTGCGGAGAGGGGTGGGAAATTTGGAGGCAAAAACTTCACCTTAATGAATTTCATGTCCCCCCTAAAGTCGCTCGCCACGTCTGTAGGAAGACCAGGGGCATTGTCTAAAACAGGGGGCACTTAAGTTCTAATTTCTTTTCATTTAGGGGAATCTTTCAATTGGGGGGAAATGCATGTGTAACCAGTCATAGAAAAAGTCCCAGGACCCATGCCTTATGTTTGCCCTCCCACACACACAAATTCTCCTTAGGGCATTCCTTTTGCCGAACGGCTGGGGGTTTCAGAGGAACACAAAAAGGCTTTTAAATTTGCAATCACCAGTAGCATTGGGAAAACATCAAAAAAAGTAAGCCTGTCTTTCATAGGGTTATGTCCTGGGAGGCCTTTCCTCCTTAAGTAGGTCCTGCTTGGCAAATTTCCCTTTCCCAAAAAAGGCCTGTTTCATACAATTAAACACTTGTTCAGGTTCATCCTTCAGTCTCATGTACTTCTTGAAATTCCTGCACATATTTTTCAGCCGCTTTTTGGCCAACTGGAGCCTCACCATTCCTTATCACACTATGTATGCCCTAAACCCTTAAATCTCTCAAACCAACCTTGCTGGCCTAAATTCCTCACATCACACTAGTTCAGGGGATTTTTTTTTAAATTTAAAACCCGTGCAACTTTCCAGCCTTTTCGCTTATATCGCTTGAGGACGCTATCTCCTGCTAGCTGTTTTTCATTTTCCCACCAATAAGAGTCTCTCAAAATCTTTTCCCTCACTTTTCGACTTTTTTTCGAAAACACAGTTAAACCTTTGGGAAGAACCTCCTTTATTGCCCTTTTTGGGCCCACAATAGTAGCATGGTTATTTTGGGGTTTCCCTTTTATAACCTGACCAGGGCGGCGATACGCACTTTTCCCTTTCATACTTATCAATGATCTCTTTTTTCTTTCTATTGGAATTCTCACCCTTATTGGGGTAGGGGTTTTTGGGACTAGAAGCTTTCTTGGGGGCCCCGGTTCATTATTTTCCCGAAACAGCACCGAAAACACGTAATAATACGAAAATTTCCCATTTATGCTTGATGTTACCGCGGGGGCTGGCTGTAAACAATGGCACGGGGGCACAATTTAGGCTGGGTGAGGGGGGCACATTGGACGCGTCTCGGACAAATTTTGGGGGACGGGTTTTTTTAAGCGGTAGCAGGCAAAATTTTTTCGATTAAGCAAGCGGTATGCGGGTTTAAACGTATGTGGGCCTCAGTATCGGGGGGCCACGTAAACGTCAAACCGTACCTCGTAAGACAAATATATAACCCCCGACAGTCATAGGGGTTTAACCCTTTTAGGGTCGACAGGGCCCTTTTCCGAGACCTTTTTCCCGGGTCCCGGGCCCAAATTTAAAAAAAAAAAAAAAAAATTTTCTTAGAAAAGATAGAGAACTTTTCCCCATCAAAAAAGCCCCCAAAAATAGAATTTTTATGGAAAACTTACGGAATTAGCTCTTTCGAAGTTAGCGTTTCGGCGATGTTTACGGATCGGCGTTTTTTCCCCCTTTGACCCATTTTTCCCCGGGCCCGTCCACTGTACTATCGACAAAAAACATGAATATTTCGCTAAGAACTCCATTTTTTTTTATTTAAAGATGCAAAAACCCCCCCATTTTCCAATTTTTTAAAAATCCATACAGTGGTCAAAAATTTACAATTTTGGCCCAAATTTCACACAAATTTAAAAAGGTGCCAATTTCCGAATAGGGTCCAGAACAAACAAGAAATACATTCCTGGCACTAAAATGACATTTCCTCTGTTCATTAGTCACGTCTCAAGGCCCCTCTTACATTCTTTTGCTTTCCACTTTGAATTTTTATTCTCACAAAAAATAGAAGATTTACTGTTATGCAGACTACTGCATTAGTGTAAAAAATGATATGAATCATATTGGCGCACTTGCAAAAGAATATTAGACTCGCCAGTTGACGTGTATTGGATGCTTGGCATGATTTGTTTACTTTTGAACTTTGGTAAAAATCGAACATTTCTGCTGCTTTGAGCTCAATTTCAAGGTACTTTTCATTGTAAAACCAGTCAAAATCATCTCAATTTCTATGATATGCCTTCCATTCTATAAAATAAGACCAAGAAAACTAGAATACAACAATAAATACCGTACGAAAATACAGTGCAAAGTCGCTGTTTTATTCCAAAAAAACGGTCAAAGTTTTTTTTTTTTCATTATGCACTGTGTGCTGCAGGATTTTTTTTTATACCATGCACACTGATCACATAGACCCAATCTTTCATATGGAGGCCTACCAGCTTTCTCCCACTAGATTTGAGGGTGCTAGAATTTAGGCGTACTAGTACGTCAAAAACCCTGGGGCATAAGCCGTACTAGTACGTCCGAAACCCTCAAAGGGTTAAAGGAGGGGTTTGGTATATTTGCTGTTTGGAGTGATACCTGAACTGTCCATATCTGCACTCCTCTGCAAAGATAGTGATTACATATGAATGATGGTGGAAGTGTTTCTTTATTTTTTGGGTTATCCTGCTTCAGTGGGAGATGGCCAGTGTGTTAAAAAAAAAAAAGAGTGATAAAACTTCTTAAATACTGGTGTCTTACTTGTTTTTTTAAACAAGAGTACAGTGGACCCTCGGTTATCATAACTAATCCATTCCTGAGAGAGTGACTAAACCCGAATCTGAATATTTCCAAATTTATTTTCCCCATAAGAAATAATGTAAATCTAATTAATCTGTTCCAGACACCCAAAAGTATTAAAAAAAATTTTTTTTTTGCATGAAATATACATTTACCTACACAGAAAACAATGAGACATGTAGAATAAAACAGTAATAAAATAACACCTTTATTGAAGAGTTGATGTGTGGAAGACGAGAAGAGGGGAAAGGATGGAGGATTGTTTGGAAGGGGAATCCCCTTCCATAAAGACTTCAGGTACCAAGCCCCTTTTTCTGGGGTTACTTCCCTTCTTTGTTTTTTAATTCCACTAGGACCAGCTTTGAGAATCACTGGAGCCCTGTCACTCAAAAATTGTTCCAGAGAGGTCTGTTTCTGGCCTTTGTTAGGAATTGTGGCAAAATAAACAATATTAATAACATAGAAGCATGATATATACTCTAGAATGAATAAAATATGTCATATGTCTCTCTCTCCCTAACCAATGAGTGTTTGTTGTGTTGTAGGGTGTATAAGGGCCACTGAAAGATAATCCTTACATAGTGGTGGTGAAGGCAGCACGAAGGGTGGCGGTGTTAGCCAGTAGCCCTACATACCTCCAACAACATTGGAGGAGTCAGTTTCGTGCTGTCCTTTTTTTTATCGATTAATCACTTAACTTACTTGCTACACTTTATCGCTGGCTGGTGCTATAGCCTTTATCGACTCCTGCTGCTTTAGTATCGTACATATCGCAGGATCACTGAAGAAGGCATGTTCTCCCCCCTCTCTCAGCCCTTTACCAAAAGGGCTGGCTGGCACTAGGAACTTCCTTGGGGCCCATGGTGGCTTATTTAGTAGTTGCAAGCACTAAAAAGAATGGAATAATACAAAATGTAAACGTATGAATGCTTGGATCATGCTAACTGGGTGATAAACAATGGCACACTGAGTGTCAGGCCGCTGTTGCCATGCAGACACATTCGGGAATGAATGACTATTACTGAGCTCAATGACATTCACCGAGCCAATATTGTGACGACAAAACGTTACTATTTCCGAATATTACGAAATCCGACGACTACAAAATCCTGGGTCCACTGTATTTGCATTAGACCATTTGAAAAAAAAAAAGTTATTCCTCACTGTTCTCTGTGTATTTGCATTTGCAGTCTTTGATACTGTGTCATACTTTCTCATGCACTAATTTTTTTTTTCTTTTGGTTTTTCACAGATCGTTTTGGACCTGATGCCTTTAATGGTCCTCCTCCTGGCTTCCTCCTCAGCAAGGAAGACCTGAAGGTCCTCCTGTTTTTGCCCAACAAGGAAGACCTGATGTCCCACCCAACTTTTCCCAACAAGCAAGACCTGATGGTCCTCCCAACTTTCCGCAGCAAGGAAGACCTATGGTCCTCCTAGCTTTCCCAGCAAGGAAGACCTGACGGTCCTCCTAACTTTTCCCCAACAAGGAAGACCTGATGGTCCCAACTTCCGTCCAGATGGTAATACAGGCCTAAATGGTCCTGTTGGGCCTGGTGGCCCCGGAGGGCATGGTGGCTTTAATAATTTTGTTCCAGTGCCAGGATTTGGTCCCCCAGGTGGAGGTTCTGGATGTCCACCAGGAATGATGGGTGGACCACCAGGCCCACATGGGCACTCTGGAATGAGGAATGATGGCTTTGGTCACATGGGCATGGGTATAATATCTGGACCCACTGGCCCAGGTATGTTTACTCTTAATTATGTTTTAATATAAGGAAGAGAATACTGTTTTTCTTTGGGCTTGTAAGACCAATCTTGCAATGTACTCCTGGGGTAATTTTAATGTTTAAATAATGGTGATGGTGTTCATTTAGTGGATATAATACTTCAAGTTTAGAAATGCAGGTGCTCCTTGACTTATGATATTTCGACTTGACGATGGTGCAAAAGCAATTACTTTGGAGATGAAATTCAAGATAAATACTCAGCATGAAGATGACAAGTCCGTAACTTGTATTCATATATTTACTTTTCAATACTGGTATTTAGTTACAGAAATTATTTGTTAATTTGCTTATTCATTGTTAGCAGTTATTTACTTATTTATTGGACATTTCATATTCAGCTTACGATAGGTTCGTCAGAACATACGCCCGTCATAAGTCAAGGAGCACCTGTATTCCATTTAGGGTCATTTACAGTCTACATAGTGGGAATAAAGCATTTAAACTACAGCAAATGCTTAAAAGTACTAATTAAGTACTCTGGAGCTAAGAAGAGAGAGATAAGTGATGCCTGGTAATATATACATTATAGTAGAACCTCCACACTACCATAACAATGTACTGGAGTGACATTTAGGGGAGGAAGTGTAAAATAAACCTTGTGAGAAACAGGAAGCCATGGGCACAATATAAAACATTAAATCAACATCTGTGGACTTGGACTATTCAACTTGCTGCTTTCAAAAAGAAACTGAATCACTACCTCTTCCAAGAATCAGATCAACTGGTCCTGTAATGGACATGAACCATTAGCCTGCCAACAGCAACAGCCTGGTTGACCAGGTGACTAAAGAAGCCTGGCATCTGGCTGGGCTGCAGGAGTAAAAGACTCAAATTGGTCTTGTGTATTATCACAGGGTAGTAGTTTATTAATTAACATAGAACTTCAGTAATAAAGAGCTTGGACAATGAGGATAATGTGAAAGTTGCATGACTTACGCTCTAAGATTGTTTTTAATACAAAAGCTGTCTCTCACTGAGTAGGTGACCCAAAAAAGAGAAACACTTTCACCATTGCTCATTCTTATCACCATCTTACCAGAGTTATGGCAACATTGCAGATCAGGTTTCCCTCTGAACTTCAGCACCCTCACCCCTCCTTCAGAGTGCAGACACTGTATTCAGCACCTCCAGGACTTGAGTCTGGCTAACCAATTTCCCTAAATCTCTCTCTAAATGTTTGCTTCCTCACTCTAACAGCACAAGTCTTAAAGACCTTCCTTCACTCTAACAATCTCTCTCACACTTGTTGGATGTCCAAACCTTCTGCATACAGTTGAAATAACATGTACCCCTTCCCCTCACAAACCTTTCCTAGGATGACCTCTACTCCTTTTCTCCACTACATTTATACATCCTCCCATTTTGTACTTGATTCCCCATAATTTAATCCCACTCCTCTCCCCAAAAGCCTAGCATTTACTTCATTTACAACCCCATCTATAAATATATTAAGCCAGTTGTGTACTGGGCCACGGGGGCGTTGATCCCTGGAAATAATCCCTCCAGGTAGGCAGGTAGACCATGGTGACATTACACATCCCTGTCTAAGACCTACTTTTACCGGGAAGTAATCTCCCTCTCTCCTACACACCCTAACCTTAGCCTCAGTATCCTCATAAAAACTCTTGACAGCATTTAGTAACTTACTACCTATTCCATACACTTGCAACATCTGCCACATTGCTCCCCTATCCACTTTATCTAAATCAGTAAATGAATAAATGTAATGAAAACTTCCCTACCTTTATCTAAATACTTCACATATATGCTTCAATGTAAACACTTGATCTACACATCCCCTACCCACTCTAAAGCCTCCTTGCTCATCTACAATCCTACTCTCTGTCTTACTGCTTAATTCTTTCAGTAATAACCCTACTGTACACTTTTTCCCGGCATACTTGGTAAACTTCTTTTTTTTTTCAACAAGTCCGGCCGTCTCCCACCGAGGCCGGGTGACCCAAAAAGAAAGAAAATTCCAAAAAAGAAAATATTTTCATCGTCATTCAACACTTCACCTCACTCACACATAATCACTGTTTTTGCAGAGGTGCTCAGAATACAACAGCTTAGAAGCATATACATATAAAGATGCACAACATATCCCTCCATACTGCCAATATACCAAACCTCTCCTGTAGAGTGCAGGCATTGTACTTCCCATTTCCAGGACTCAAGTCCGGCTATATAAAAATAACCGTTTCCCTGAATCCCTTCACTAAATATTAACCCTGCTCTCACTCCCCAACAGCTCGTCAGGTCCCAAATATCATTCGTCTCCATTCACTCTTATCGAACACGCTCATGCACGCTTGCTGGAAGTCCAAGCCCCTCGCCCACAAAACCTCCTTTACCCCTTCCCTCCAACCTTTTCGAGGATGACCCCTACCCCACCTTCCTTCCCCTACAAATTTATACGCCCTCCATGTCATTGTACTTTGATCCATTCTCTCTAAATGACCAAACCACCTCAACAACCCCTCTTCAGTCCTCTGAGTAATACTTTTATTAACTCCACACCTTCTCCTAATTTCCACACTCCGAATTTTCTGCATAATATTTACACCACACATTGCCCTTAGACAGGACATCTCCAGTGCTTCCAACTGCCTCCTCGCTGCAGCATTTGCAACCCAAGCTTCACACCCATATAAGAGTGTTGGTACTACTATATTTTCATACATTCCCTTCTTTGCCTCCACAGATGACTTTTTTTTGTCTCCATATATACCTCAACGCACCACTCGCCTTTTTTCCTTCATCAGTTCTATGATTACCCTCATCCTTCATGAATCCATCTGCTGACACATCAACTCCCAAATATCTGAAAACATTAACTTCTTCCATACTCCTCTTCTCCAATTTGATATCCAATTTTTCTTTATCTAAATCATTTGATACTCTCATTACCTTACCTCTTTCTCTTCACTTTCAACTTTCTACCTTTACACATACTCCCAAACTCGTCCACTAACCTTTGCAATTTTTCTTTAGAATCTCCCATAAGCACAGTATCATCAGCAAAAAGTAACTGTGTCAATTCCCTTTTGTATTTGATTACCCATAATTTAATCCCACCCCTCTCCTGAACACCCTAGCATTTACTTCTTTTACAACCTCATCTATAAATATGTTAAACAGCCATGGTGACGTTACACATTCCTGTCTAAGACCTACTTTTACTGGGAAGTAGTCTCCCTTTCTTCTACACACCTTAACCTGAACCTCACTATCCTCATAAAAACTCTTTACAGCATTTAGTAACTTACCACCTATTCCATATACGTACAGTGGACCCTCGGTTATCGGCCGTAATCCGTTCCTGAAGGTCGGCTGATAACTGAAATGGCCGATAACGAAATTAATATTTCCCATAAGAATTAATGGAAAGAAAATAAAATCGTTCCCAACAAAAATATTCACAAAAAATAATAATTTTTTTTACAATTATGTAAGTATTACATACCTTTATTGAAGGCTAATGCTGGCTTCTGGAAAAGATGGAGGAGATAGTGTTTGGAAGGGAATCCCCCTCCATGAAGACTTCAGGGAGAATTTCCCTTCCCCCTGGGGTTTCTTCCCTTCTCTGTCTTTTTAAAGCCACTAGAACCAACTTAGGTCCTGGGCCCCTTTCCACAAAATAACTGTCCAGAGTAATCTGTTTCTGGCATTTTTTTAAAAATTTCCCCCGAAGTGGG